GGCAGGTGACATGGTGGTTAAGGGCGCTGGACTCCCACATGGTTGACCGTGGTTTGAGTCTTGGACCTGGTAGCTTGCTTTCTCACTTTCTCTCTCTCTCTGTCCCTCTCTGTTCAAATTAAAATAAATAAATAAATAACGTTAAATAAAATAATTCTTTATTCAATAAATATATATTTTTTCACTTAAACAAAATGTATTATTACTGAGACCAGCAGTTCACCGAATGGCTAAAGCGAGAAAGCAAGTTACCAGGTCTGGGACTCGAACTGTGGTCAGCCAGGTGGGAGTCCAGCGTCTCAACCACCACACCACCTACCCACCCTCCTGTCTTCTTATATGTATTCATGGCTTAACGGACGACGTATTTAAACGGCCTATTTAGACCTGTGTTAAAGTCCCAGAGGTGTCATGGCTCCTCATCTCCCCCAAAACATGCAGGTGGACGGCTTCACGCACCTCTACACTCTGATTTTAAGGCCAGATCTTTCTTACGAAGTGAAAGTCGATGGTCAAGGGATCGAATCCGGCAACATCGAGTATGACTGGAATTTAATGTCTCTTAAGAAAACGGAGAAGTCTTCAGCGGATTCCAAGCCTTGGGACCAGGCTAATGACAAAGCCCAGGTGGGGTTTTTTTCCTGAGTAGCCTTAGAAAGAATAGGAGCTCAAGACCAGCAGTTAGCGTAATGGCTACATGGCTGGACTCCCACGTAATCAACCGTGGTTTGAGTCCCGGACCTGGTGGCTTAAACTTAATGCCTGGCGCGTGTGCGTGTGTGCCTAAGATCGTGAGAGGAGAATGGAGAAGAGATTGTGGCGTGGCCATCTCCCCTGGGGGCTGATTTCTCGCTTTCTGTCTTTCTGTCTCTCTCTGTCTCTCCAGGCAAGCACCTGTACCCTATAGCAAAAATCTCTCCACAAAAAAAAGAAAAAAGGGAGAACGGCAGTTAGAGTAATGGCTGTGTCGCCAAACTCCCGTGTAGTTGACCACAGTTCGAGTCCCGGACCCGGTGGTTTAAACTCACACCGAGCGCATGTGTGTGCGTGCCCAAGATCCCGAGAGGAGAATGGAGGAGAAGGGATTGTGGCATGGCCATCCCCCCGGGGGGTGATTTCTCGCTTTCTATCTCTGCGTTTCTGTCTGTCTTTCTGGCGAATATACGTGCCCTATAGCAAAAAAAAAAAAAAAAAAAATAGAAAGAAAGAAAAAAGGTATTCATTTCTCCTCTCCTCTGCATCTGACGGGCCTTGTGTTCCTACCTTCGAAGGACTGGGAGAAGCATTTCCTGGACGCCAGCGCTAGCAAGCCGAGCGACTGGAACAGCGAGCTGGACGGGGACTGGCAGGCGCCGTTGCTCCAGAAGCCCCCGTACCAGGTGCGGTGCGTCTTCCCTCGGCTGTCCCCTCCCCTGCCCGTGTCAGCGGGTAACCCGACGTGTGTATATTGGTTTGTCGCTGCAGGATGGCCTGAAAGCAGAGGGCATCGATAAAGACATTTGGCTCCACCAGAAGATGAAAAGTACCAGCTACCTCCCTCAGTACGACCTCTCGGAGTTCGAGAACATCGGTGCCATTGGGCTGGAGCTTTGGCAGGTCGTTTTCATTTTGCTCATCACTTTTTTTTTTTTAAAGATTTATTTATTTATTCAGTCCTTCATTCCATCATTTTAATTTGACCAGAGAGAGACACACACACACAGAGAGAGAGAGAGGGAAATGAGAAAGCAAGCCCCAGGTTCAGGACTTGAACCGCGGTCAGCCATGTGGGAGTGTCCAGCGCCTTCACCACCATGCCATCTGCTGGTCCCATTTTTTTCTTTTTTATAATTATTTAATTTGATGTATTCATTTCTTTATTTTAATTTGATCAGAGAGAGACACACAGAGAAAGAGAAAGAGAGTGAGGGAAAGTGAGAAAGTAAGCTACCACATCTGGGACTTGAACTGTGGTAGGCCATGTGGGAGTGTCCAGCGCCTTAACCACCACACCACCTGCTGGTCCCTGCTGGTCCCATTTTGCTCATAACTTTTTAGTGTGTGGGTGTGTGTGTTTTGTTTAAAGAATTATTTTATTTAACTGTAAAGTGAGAAAGCAAGCACCCAGGTCCAGGACTCGAACTATGGTCAGCCACATGGGAGTCCAGCGCCCTAACCACCATGCTATGCTACCTGCCAACCCCAGTGTGCTGGTTTTTTTTTTTTTTTTTGAGAGAGATTTTTGGTATAGGGTGTATACACATGCCAAGGAGACACGGAGAGAGAAAGAGAGACAGAGAGACAGAAGGCAAGAAATCACCCCCAGGGGTGATGGCCACGCCTCAATCCCTTCCCCTCCATTCTCCTCTCGGGATCTTGGGCATGCACGCATACACGCCTGGCGTGAGTTATAAGCCTCTGGGTCCGGGACTCGAACCACAGTCAACTACATGGGAGTCCAGCGACATAGTCATTATGCCAACTGCTGGTCCCCATTCCTTCTATATCTTTAGGTGTTTAATCCTCATAGAGGTTGTCATTTATTTGAACCATGGGAGTGTTTACACAGGCTCCTTTTTTTTTTTTTTTTTAGAGGTTTTTGCTATAGGGCGTGTGCGCTCGCCAGAGACAGAGACAGAGAGACAGAAAGCGAGAAATCACCCCCCAGGGGGGATGGCCACGCCGCAATCCCTTCTCCTCCATTCTCTTTTTGAGAGGTTTTTGCTATAGGGCGTGTGCGCTCGCCAGAGACAGAGACAGAGAGACAGAAAGCGAGAAATCACCCCCCAGGGGGGATGGCCACGCCGCAATCCCTTCTCCTCCATTCTCCTCTCGGGATCTTGGGCACGCACGCCCACGCGCCCGGCATGAGTTTAAGCCACTGGGAGTCCAATGACATAGCCATTATGCCATTGCTGGTCCCAATTAAAAAAAAAATGTTGTTTAAGAATTATTTTATTTAACTTTGTTTATTTTAATTCGACCGAAGAGGAAGAGAATGTTAGAGAGGAGAAAGTGAGAAAGTAGGTCACCAGGTCTGGGACTTGAACTGCGGTCAGTCATGTGGGAGTCCAGTGCCCTTAACCACTATGCCAGCCGCCGGCACCTAAATAAATTATTTTAAAAAATGATGAAGGCCTTCTTTTCATCTGCAGGTGAGATCTGGAACCATCTTTGATAACTTCCTGCTCACCGATGATGAAGAGTATGCCGAGAATTTTGGCAAAGCCACCTGGGGTGAAACCAAGGTATGGTTAACTTTTCTCTCCTAGTTTACCTCTTTTTGTAAATTTTGTCCTGAAGTCTAACCTATGGGAAAGGGCTTGATGTAGCTCATTTTTTAGAAAATTCTTTTTCTTTTTCTTTTCATTTTATTTATGCATTCATTTATTTTCATTTGACCAGAGAGAGACACACAGAAAGTGAGAAAGCCACCAGGTCCAGGACTTGAACTATGGTCGGCCATGTGGGAGTATCCAGCATGTTAACCACCACGCCACCTGCTGGTCCCTAGTTCATTTTTATTTATTGCCAGAGAGGAGAGAGAGACAGACAAAAGGAGAGGGTTGTGGGTATGTTCACACCACAGTCCCTTCTCTGTCTCTTCATCCTGTCAGGATTTGGGGCACGCATGCACATGGGCCCAGCATGTTTTTCAAGCCACTGTGGCCAGGATTCGAACCACGTAGTCGGCCATGCAGTATTTGGCTTTCTTAATCATTAGGCTACATGTGACCCACAGATGTCATATTGGTTGCGTTGCAGGACTCCCACATGGTCCACCACAGTTCGAGTCCTGGACCCATGGGAACTAGCAGTTAGCGTAATGGCTATGTCGCTGGACTCCCACATAGTCGACCACGGTTCGTGCCCCGGACCTGTTGGCTTAAAACTCACACCGGGTGCGTGTGCGTGCGTGCCCAAGATCCCGAGAGGAGAATGGAGGAGAAGGGATTGCGGTGTGGCCATTCCCCCTGGGGAGTGATTTCTCACTTTCTGTCTCCCCTGTCTGGCGGGCGCCCCCCCCCTAAAGCAAAAACCTCTAAAAAAAAAAAAAAAAACAACGAGTGAGTCCTGGACCCAATGGCTTAAAACTTATATGTGCATTGGGGCTGGCAGGTGGCATGGTGGTTAAGGTGCTGGACTCCCACATGGCTGACCACAGTTCGAGTCTCTGACCTGGTAGCTTGTGCTCTCACTTTCTCTCTCTCGCTCTCTCTCCCCTCCCTTCATCAAATTAAAAAATACAAATAAAGAAAATTAAATACATATAAAAAAATCATTAGGCTACAGAGTCAGCCCTTGATACCTTTTTTTTTTTTTTTTTGGGAGGCTTTTGCTATAGGGCGTGTGCACTCGCCAGACAGACAGAGACAGAGAAAGCGAGAAATCACCCCCCAGGGTGGATGGCCACTCCGCAATCCCTTCTCCTCCATTTTCCTCTCGGGATCTTGGGCACGCACGCACACGCGCCCGGCATGAGTTTAAGCCACCGGGTCCGGGACTCGAACCGCGGTCGACTACTTGGGAGTCCAGCGACATAGCCATGACGCTAACTGCTGGTCCGAGGCCAGACTGAATATTGACATCCCTTTGTACCCTAGCAAGCGTAATCCCTAGCCCCGGGGTCTCTGTTTCTCCTTTCTCTCTTCCAGGGTCCAGAAAGAGAAATGGATGCCATTCAGGCCAAGGAGGAAGTGAAAAGAGCCCGAGAGGAAGAGGAGGAGGAGGTGATGGCAGGGCGGTTTCCTGGGCATGAAAATCCGTTCAGTAGATTTCACAGGCGGGATGAACTTTAGCTGTCCCCGCCGTAGACAGAGGAAAGAGGACAGACCGAACTTCGTTTCTCATTGAATCTACATTTAAAAGCTCAAACGTGTACATGATCATCGTCTGTCCAGTTTTCTTTGAAGGGACCAGCACTTAGCATAATGGCTATGTCGCTGGACTCCCATGTAGTCGACCGTGGTTCGAGTCCCAGACCCGGCAGCTTCAAACTCATGCCAGGTGCGTGTGCGTGCATGCCCAAGATCCCGAGAGGAGAATGGAGGAGAAGGGATTGCGGCGTGGCCATTCCCCCCATAGAGGGCGATTTCAAAAAGTGTTCGGGGGGGGGGGGGGCGGCGGGGGGGGTG